GGAAAGAGTTACAGCTTTGATAGAACTCTGACATATCCCAAAATTTAATTTAGTCTTGTAACAGAATGTATTGGTTGATATGAAGTTAAGAAATTTCTAGAATCAAATGCGTCTGTTAGCTAATTATGTTTCTAACTTGCATGGGGAAAATTTAAACCCAAAACTCGTATGTAGTGAATAAAGTTTATTAGGTCTTGAAGACAGTTTACCCTACCCTGTGTATCTGTATATCTTTGAAAAAAACACAAATAATTTTGCCATGTTTATTGGAGTGAATTTCCAGTTAAATTATGTGTTTTCTGAATTAGTGAGGTATTAAGTAAGAAAGGCAGTTAAATGATGTTGTCAAAGACTATTCCAGTGTTACTGGGTTGGGAATGATAGGCAAAAGATGTAGTGGGACTGGATGGCAATGAAAAAAAGTTTGTCCTTTACATCTACATAATGTGTTTATATATTATCTTTATGTATATTTTGTTATGCCTGTTTATATAGAAGGTTCTGCTTTCGAAGAGGCGTGATGTGATAGTAATAAATTATTAGTTTTATTACGGTTCCCAAAAGGCAGTGGAGTTGCCCCAGGCCACAACTTTGGTTTAAAAAAACACCAACCCCAAAAACATTAATTAGACAAATCTAGTACAGGATGTAACCTAAAATTAAATACTTCAACTTAATGTCAGAAAGATCACGAAGTCTGTCTTATGTTCTCAGCGCTGTGCCTGGGGAAAGCGTCTGACCTTACTCTTGAATCTAAAACATTGTGCCCCTGTGAAGAGACATTTTTGAGGCTCACTGGGAGAGAGCAGAGGGAAGGAGGAGGACTCTGTGATCTACTCACTGAACAGCTCTCTCTATTTTATCTACAGACTCTTAAAATACTGTCCTGAGGGCCAGCCTTGGACTCAGGCCTCCCCTAGACTGCCTTCCTAATAAATGTCTTGCTGGCTGGATGACAAAGCTCAACATGCAGATTAAATCTGCACTCACTTACTAGAATTTATAGTCTGGTGTGAGAAAGCTCACGAAAGATAGAGGTACAGTTTTGAACCCCTTAGTCTTGTAATTACTGAATTGTGCATTACTCATTTTCCACAAGCGTTTTAAAAATTCACTTGTATATCCTCAAAGATATCTAACTGGACAAATAGGAATTAGGTATCTAAATCCATTTTGATTGCCAAGGACAAGTTGTTAAGAGGTTATCATGTCACTTAGACCTGGTAAGTTTAAAAATAAAATAATAGCCCCTAGTTAGATTTTTGGAGATGTTTTAAGCGGTCAGTGTGAATCAGGCTCTGATTTTGACTACCAAGTTGTGCTCTGAAAGGACACTTAGGCAAATGCTTCTGCTCTAAGTCTTGACTGTGCTTAGGTATATGATGAGTATTGAACTGTTCTTCCTTACCAAGACAAAGACAAGTACAGGCATGCAAAGAAGAACCTGGAGAATTTAAAAGTAAAAAGCTTAAGTGCCTATGAAACTGATCAGATTCGGAATTGGAAAGCCACTTAATTAGGATTTTGCAGTCTTGGGTACTTCTGCTTTAAACATCCAAATATTTTATTGGGTCTGATTCATTCAAAATGACTGAAGACTTCTGTGTGCTGAGTGGGACACTGTTGTTGAGAATGTAACACAATGGTGCAGTGAATAGTGTCATCATTATGCTTTCAACAGAGAATGCTTGTTAAAGATCATCAAGAACTCAGAAATATTTGTGACCTTCAGGAAACAGATCAACAAGATCAGCAGTATACTTGACTCCCTTATTCTTGGCAGACAAATTACAGTAGTCTCATGTACAGTTAAACAGGTAGATGATGTCCTTGAAAACTTTCCCACCAATGGCATGTCCTGTAGAAGCCGCCATGCTTGGGGTGTTGATGTTGATTTCATCTTAATTAAATTATTTTTCTCTTTTCAAATAATTAAGTTTATTGTCTTCTGGAGTGAAGACAGACAACTGGGTTCCAAGAGTGCTTACAAAGTGCATATAACAAATACCATTCATTAAAAGTCGAAAGAAGAGAGCAGAATAGCAAGGTGCTCCTTTCTGGGTGCAGTCCAAAGATGCTTCTCATTTAGCTGACATATATATGCCATGGCAAGCTGCCAGCTGTTGTCCACACTGATACATGCTTCTGCTTGACTCCAACAATGGGTTTGTTTCATGGGCTGCATTTTGTCATCCCATCATATTACTATGACATGTTACAGTACTGTAATAATGTGACATGATGCTATGCTGTATAACACTATCAACAGATCTTGCAGAGCTATGCAATAGTTTCCTATGGGAAAGAAGCTTACAGATTTTTAAAAGTAGATGAGCTAATCACTGTGAAATATGTTATAAACAGCAATCGTGCTGTGGCTGTAGGATGAATTAGATGATCTAGTACGTCTGTTCCATCATGAGCGCCTCATCATTTTTGGATTATATAATATGAAAAATTAAAGGGATACTGTCAAGTAGTTCATGTATAAACCATTTCTATCCTGTTATAAACTGGTGGGGAAAATGCCTTCAAGTTCTGGATTTTTTTTTTTTTCTTTTAAATCCACCACTGCTTGTCAGAATTTTTTTCTTAGCAAGAGGCAGCTGCTCTTCGTGCATGACTATACCCAGTATTTTTGTTCTGCTGCTGCAGAGCCACCCAGCCAGCCAGCAGAGGGAGCACAAGTTAACTAATAAATCCTGTTCCCAGAACTGTGCTGACAGCTGTGATGACACTGATCACAAACAAGTAAGTATTTTTTAGTAGGACAGACTCACAGTAGCTTATTGCTCCATGAAAGGAGCAGAAGGAACAAAACAGGTAGGAAAAATACGTATTTCTGCTTAAAAGAACGTATTAAATAGCAAGGGTAAGTGGAAAAACAAGCACAAGATCGGTATGAAAATACTTGACAGTGCCCCTTTAAGGGAGAACGTGGTTGCCTACAGGTTGGTCTTCTCTGAATTGGTAAATGGTCAAAGACTGATAAGGGAGACAGATCCAGGCAAAGGAGCAATATAGCTGTGGTGTAAGTCAATTAAAATAATCACACTTGTGCCATGAGACAGGGTGCTTTTTTTTTTTAAAACATGTATGGATTTTGACATTATGCCTTATCATAATTACCTGAGGGGGTTTTGGGGGTATTTTAAAGGATTTTTTCCTAACAAGCTGATGGAAAAATAGCATTTAAGTTTAAAAGGATGCATTTGTGACTAAATCTTCACAATCAGATGGAAAATATTCAGAACT